CAGCGCGGGCAAGACAGCGGTGGCCGTCGAGAGATATTCCTTCATGATGGAAACTTTCATGCTGGGTTTTGATATTTGGTCGTACGCAAGTTCATCTGCAGTGTCGTCAATTTCACCTTGACGGGGATAACGCTGACAGCATTCGCTGGTAGACGTATTTATATTTCAGCAGACCTTCGAGTCTGCCGGATCGGCAGACGGGGATCTGGACAAGCATGAACGGGTCTTCTGCTTAAATACTTCATTGAACGGATCATAGAAGGGAAACCCAGAGCTACGGTAGGAGTGCGAGTAGCTGTTACTGTACATGTATCGTAATATATACTACAGTGCAGTACAGTACACCAGTGGCTAGGAATTGTCGAAAACTCAAAGGAAACTGAAGAGCTGCTTGCGCGGTGTTATCGGACATGTCAAGCCCAATGAGACGCAGTTGGGGTCGTGAAAGAACAAGGGTGAGTCCCATCAAATGTGTATATGATTGGCCACAACGAAGGTCTAGCTTGATTGGAGGGTCTTGCACGCCGCATTTCGGTGCATGCATTGCCTTCCAATCAGCTGTATGCATTATCGTTGCTCATCAGCAAATCAAGATTCTTGCTCTCGGAGTTTGAGGGACTCGGCCTACGATTCCTTAGGAGGACGGAGAAATGGTCGATATTTTCTTCTTCCATTGAGGGTGAACTGTTGGCAATCGGCGGTAAGAGGACAGTTTGGGCCAGTGCCGTGTGGACTGTGAGCTTGTCGTTATCCGATTGAAAATCGATCTTCTGCTTTGCTGTGCTGCTGCGTGCGACAAAAGATGCTGCCTGTGCTGACTCCTTAAGTGACTACAGTAGTGCGCCATTAATCCTATAAGAAGCTGAGGTGACCAGATTGGGGCGTCAAGTGACTGTTTCTCGTGTGGCCAGTGGAACATTGGCCTTTATACGATGCCATCCTGTGCATTTGCGCTTGCGCGCCCGGTGATGAGACTCGTACAATTCGAACTAGTCTGAGCTGGTGTTACGATTGGCTGACGTGGTAGGTCCCCGTAAGCTAGGCCCACTTGAGCTCATTGGCCGCCACGGTTGCGCATTTGTGCCAACCCATATACCTCCCATCTTTAAGGTCCCGAAAGCAGGCCCGAACTGATTGGTGTTACAGTAGCAGTGTGCAGAGTGCAATGGCCTTTTTCCACTGGGATATGATACCCATGTAGGCCTGAGTACACTTCAGCTGGTGTCCTACAAATCCCAGAATATGCATGTAAGTAAAGTCGAGCTCAACCATCTCGAAGAGGAAAGAGGTTGGACATGATAGATGGTTGACTACAGTACCATATTACTGTAGCATTTTCGTTAATCTCGCATACAAATTGCAGGAGACTTTTCGTTTGTGCCCGATGTCCCTCCACATTAATCAGCGGATAGTATTTGGAGCCCTGTACGTCCATCTTGGTGTCTCCGCAGCATCATCCGGATTGGGAATGAAGCCCACCACGCTGGTCGTGCCCTTTGCAAATGTTCCCATAGGCTCACCAACCTGCAGAATGCACATCACAAGGCCATCAGGTGAGGTGGTGCAGAATTGTCTAATTCTCCTACTTGAAGCTAGCTACAGTACTTGCTGCCTTGTGGCCGTTGGCATGCAGGGTGCAGCCTGCTTGCCCGTTGGGCAGTGTGCCGGTTCTGCTGGAAAAGGTTCGCATGGTTTACAAGCCCAACCAATCAACGAATCAACCAATCAACCAATCAACCAATCAACCAATCAACCAATCAACCAATCAACCAATCAACCAGAAGGCGGGTCTGCATACAAGTCCGAGTTCTTCCAGAGAAAACACTGTACTCTACTATAAGTCAAAGTGTCGAGTACAGCACAGGGTTGTACTTTACAACTGTAGCTGCCATAATAACTGCTATGACCGAGCCGTTGCTTCGAAATCAATGACTGATTGACCTTGATCACTCTCTTCGTTGGCTTGCGAATCTCAATCCTATCCACAAAACAACACAATTCTGTCCTTGACAATACTATACTATCACCCTCACGCGCGCCACTCAACATGCTCTTCTCCCTTACCAAGATTTTCCTGTATTTGTTCATTGCGACAGTCGCCCAAGCTGGGAGAAATGGCTACATGAGCTATCCATGTGCCGCGTTCACTCTGCCGAGTATGGGGTGTAGGCCGCCTACCTATCCGGACGAGCATAATACACTAACACGAAGCAGCATCCAACCTGCCTGCGCCCGGTGTAAACCTCACGGTCACTTATGTTTCCCTTGGCCATGGTATCCAAAATTACACGTGTGCCTCCGAAAACGCAACAGCCACTGCCATCGGCGCCCTTGCCGTCCTCTACGACATTACTTCCCTATACCCTGGAGTCACCAGTACCAGCCTGTCCGCCGACGATTTCGACGGGCTCTCCGCAAACGTGCTATGGAACAGTGAAATCCCCTTAAACCTCATCGACGCGGCAGCTGCAGCCCCCGGCTCCTCTGTCCCCGAGCCGGACTACCAGGCCGACCCCGTCAGCCCGTTCCCCGTCTCGCCATCCGACCTGGCCTGCGACGGCATCAGCGCCAAATTCCTGGGTTTGCACTACTTTGATGCTGAGTCGTCGCCCACGTTCGACTTGGTCGGCGGGACGGACCCGGCGGGCCTGTTCTTCAGCGGAGCCAAGACAGGGGACGTCAAGGCGCCGACAGATGCGGACCAAGGCGTGCTGGCCACTGGCGCGGTCAACTGGCTGCAGCTTAGCGACAACGGGCGCGGCCTGACGAGCAAAGTCGCCCAGGTCTATCGCGTCGTCACGGCGGGCGGAGGAGCGCAGGCGTGTTCGGCCAGCGGTGCGAACGATTCCGGGCAGGTGTTAAGCGTACCATATACTGCCCAGTACTGGTTCTATAGTACTTGATAAGAAGTAAAGCGCGCGAGGACAGCTTCACCAGACAAGGATATGCTCCAGGATGACTTTTTCTCAAAGATCACTCCGTTGAAAATGTCCGCCAGTTATTTGGACCACTAGTGAGCTTACATACTACCATCTTTTCATCTCTTTCCCAACGGTATCGTCAGCGATAGATTCCGCCACGTACCTGCCATGGAATAGACCAAAATCAAAGATCAAGCGCCCAGATTGGCACAAGATAACACAAGTGAGAAATCTTTGACCACGTTAGGGTTTATATGGAGGGCTTGATAATGCAGTGCCACGGCTACTCAGTATGAATCGTTCTGCCAAAGTCCGCAGCTGCTGGGGAATTGTACATATAAATAAACCTTGTCTCCGGCAAGTCGCGCAAGCAAATTTCCTCTCATGCAGCCGCCAAAACGATCAACCAGACAACTATCTTTAGCAATCTGTGTGCGAGGAATCACTTGGGCTGCTGGTTGAACAAGGATGGGGATCCTGTGATGCTTGCTACTTCAAGATTGCTATCGTCATTTCCAGTTCATTCATGGAGCCTCAAGTGCGCAGACTTGATCCGATTGATAAATCAGGCGTACTGTACACTAACAGTTCGTTTGTCCTCTTGCGATTTGTCAGAGTAAGGGCGCTTCCTTTGGTACAAAACTGTGTGTGAAATGAGTGTACTGTATCAGCAGCCCGAACTGAGTGATTTGCAAATCAGGGTGATTTCATACGTGATGTGTTAAGATTAGATGTGCATTTATTGGTTCGAACTGAATCTTTCACAGCTACTGTTTTGTCTCCAAACTACTATAGGGTACTTCTGGGTCATATGGAGGACCAAGAAAAGCGAAAGGCGGCCGGGAGCGAGATACCGGCAGGCGAGCAACTGCTTGGGTGATCGCCCCAAGCAGGCCACCCCCCCCCCCACCCACCGCTCCGAGGCTAGGCTTCTATTTCGCGGCTGTCGGCACTTGTGAAAACGGAATTGCGGAAACCGGGGCAGGTGCGGCCTGCCCTCCCGGGAAGATACCGCCCGGATCTGAAGGCCCGCTGGCACGCTGTGACAGATATGGCTAATCATGGAAGCCAGCAATACTGACCGCATCACGAGCATCATAAGCCCCGCTTTAGATCAGGTAATATTGGCCTTCTTTAGAATAAGATGAGAAATATTTACCATTCTTTGATTACCGAAATCTTTCGCCCTTTTATATGTTCGGTAGAAAAGGAGATGATCGTTGCAAAAGTCTGGACAGACGGTCTTCGGGCTCAGAACGATGACCTTGGAACTAAACGTTGTAATATACTTCTGAACATATTTCCCTACTAGGTAGAAGCCACAAAATTCTTTTGTTGGTAATGTATGGGCAACAGAGATTTCAACATAATCGATTCTTCGGACGCTCGACCACGCCACACAAGCAAGACCAAGATCTGCAAGAGCTCTGTTTCTATAGACCCGCGCCAGCATTACACCATGCACGGTGCCATCCTGTGTATATGCCGGAAGGATATGAAAGCTCTATTCCAGGTGGAGGCCAGTGAACTGCACGGGTGCAACTCCTAACGGACAATGTTAGGTACGAATTCCAGCAGATTATCACCATAGAGCCCTCTTGGTGTGGGCTCCGAGCTGAGGTGCGCCTATCCCGACCCAGGGTGCGGCCTAAGGGGGGTTTCTGTCTGACCTGGGATGGATATTCCGTACACTCAGGCAGGACTACATATTCGAAGAGCTTGTACAGCAAAGCAGCAGTGCAGTATTCCCAGATTCGACAGGGAGTCCTTCCTTCTCTCTTTCTCGGCCGTATCTGGGCTATGCGAGTACCAGAAATCAAGCGAAGGGCACAAAAGGTTCTTATGGTGTCATTGCCGGAGTTCTAGTTTGGTGCAGTTTAGTGTACGTACATTGCTTTATCTACAGCATGTGGCGGTCACGACTTAGATATGTAAAGATTATCAATACCCAGGAGAATTACTAAGAGATTGAGCCGCCAGCCCAGGGGCAGGGCTCGGAAGCTCATTGGGTCAGAAAGAGAGGAAGCCGCAGGTGGCCCTATACTTACAAGTCGAATGCCGTGATTGGCCATTGATTTTCCATGTGGGCACTTATTGCTCAGCCAGTATGATTTCGACTTATGAATCACCACGCATATAGACTCTATCGTGTTGGACTATACCCAACTACAGCCAATCTCGCCAATAGAAAGAAGGAAGATCCTCAGTTTGAGTCTACTGAACGAGGGTCGAGGGATCTGGGTGCCTGCTGAAGGCGTCGTCAAGAGCAGGATGAGATATAGTACGAATGGCAGTGTTCACACCCACCAATCATATTATAAGTTTGGATAAATCTACGGTATCTGCTGACCGGGCTACAGTCAAGTCACTACTGCTTGGCCAACGCAATCCGACCCCTATTCATGGCGGGCATTTTTAGTGCTACATGAAGATAGAACGTGATTCATAACTCGAAATTATGCTGGCTGAGTAATCAGTGTGTCCACTGGGTGAATTAATGTCCAAACATAACATTCGACTGATTGTTTATCGAGTATCGGCTATAGGACGCGCGAGTATCTAAAAAGCGTGCTGCGGCCCGTGGGTTTAGCGATAC